AACAATATACAAAAAACGAAAGAGTTTATAAATAAATGTTTCAGGCACTGAATACAATTATCAAGTCGTAATATATCAGGCGTTTCTTATCATAACATTGTTATATCATCACAAATTAATTTTTATATTAATTCTACTCTTACTTAATAAATAAATTATCCCTCCCTCTATAAGAATTCGTTTTGAAAAGCCAAAAATTATACATCAATATTACTCAATTAGGTTTTAGATTGAATATAAGTTAACAATTATATATAATTAATAAAACACAACAGATCAATCCAAAGAGAGCTGAATTTTTCTATATTAAGGTAAAAGAAATATATTTTGATTATTGAAAAATATATAATTAAATAATTTTATAAAAGGCAAATGAAAATCGTGGGGTAAACCAGAAGTGCCAGAGAGCTTAATTAACAAAAACAAAAATGTATTTTTTTTTCTATAAGATTTCAACATTTTTCAAAACATAAAAACATATCAAATTTGGTAACATAACCGCTCATCTCACAGTTTTCAAATGCTTTTTATACAAAATAAATAATATTTCTCCTCTTGTTAATAAAAAAGTCTATTCTGTAGCATTATATATAAATAAACACAGTAAAATATTCGTCTTAACTAGTTGTTGATTTTAATTAGTTTGATTTAAATCAATAATAATTTACTAAGAATAAATACAACGGCAACAATGCTATATGCATATTAATTTTCTAGATATAATGAGGAAACCACATGTATAATGTTATTGTAAAAAATCACGAAAATATTACGTAATTTTAAAACAATCTTGCTCGAGATGTAACCAATTATTAATCATATTACATGAAAAGCAACTCAATATTCCAATTTAGTTAGCTATAATTTAATAAAAATGATAATTATATTTTTTTTGTTTTCTTATACGGGATTTGTTAGTTGCAATTGCATACTCAAAACTTATTGTAATGGGATAATATTAATTATAAATATTGAAAAATGATGCAAATGCATTATTATTAATTTAATTTCTAAAGTTAAAGTAAAAGTACATGAGAGAAACAATATAAGAATAGAAAGATTTCACAAACAAAATCATCATCCGATGACTTTCTGTTTGGTTTGTGGAAGTTCATATTCTGAAAGTAGGGGTGGCGTAAAATTGATCAAGTTTCAAGGAACATACGATTTCTGGTTCTACATAAAATGAGCAGGTGATTAAATTTTTCACCATGGTAAATGTGTGAATAATTACTTTTTTCGAATGTAAATGAATAGATTCTAGTACATTGACATAGTTGTTGCATTAGTCTGACGGATAAGTTTCTGAATTTTTAGATAGCATTATGTCTGATTTTGAAGAAGACTATTATAATAACACTAGTCGTGATGCTAACCTATCAATTATGAGAAGGAAGTAAATGAATCGCATTTTATTTCTTGTTAACTTTGCTAAATAAAATTGTGTTCTTTTATATATTGTTATATTATATTCATAAGCCATGTGGTTTTGTATGCCTGTCACAACCGTCCTGGAAGTTTGTAAATTGAGTAAGTATTTGAATATGTTAATATATACTTTGATTATTTTTAATTAAAAATTTATTAAATTTGTTAGTAAGTTTTTACCGATCAAATTCTAAAAAAGCAAAAATATTGAAACCACCACCGGCCGGCCTCATATTATGTAAGTATTATCTTTTTGTAATATCTAATAATACTAAAGAACTAAATAATTGTAATGACTAAAAGTCATATTTAAACAGTTGTTTTTAAAAACAAATCTTTTTGCAAATTAATAAATATTAATACAGAGTACAAAAACTCTAAAAAGCGACAATATTTAATTTCCGTATATAAATGCTACAGAATAAACCTTTTCCTTACTAAAAGGTAGTATAATAAATAGTTCCTTGATTCAAATAAATATCCTGGCAAGTGTTAATTTACGAATCCATAATAACTCTTTAGAATTTTTATTTTAAAAATTTTTAAATATATCTTCATGTCTAAATCAGCATTCATCCAAGTTTTGACGAAATAAAATTGTTTGTTGAATTTCGCAAATAAATTATTCTCATCAAAACACTTCTGGCCATACTTTTGCCATAAGTGAATGATGGATATAACTTGTTTCCGAAATGTGTTAAATATTTACATAAACATTACCAGATCTATAGCTACTTAGCATAATCGGTCTCTTACAATTAATTAGGAGTCAATATTTCTTTACATTTTAATGAAATGAAATCGTCTTGCAAATCGAATTGCTCAATTGGTAAAATAACTATTAAATTAAAAATATAGTTATTTAAAAATAGCTAAATTGTGAGTAAATTTAACCTGAAATTAATCAATTGAGCAATCGATTTAATTCACAATAATTAAATTATACCCTTAAAATTATAAAAAAACACAGCATATTCATCATAAATTTGTGATCACATGTTATATAACAAAATTAAAGTTTTCTAATTTAAATAAAATATATTACTGTAGGCCAACAAATATATATATATATATATATATATATATATATATATATATATATATATATATATATATAAAATTATAAAAAATAAAACATCAATAAAACCTATACATATACAAAAGTATCCTGAATTCAAGATTTCTAATAACTAATTAAAATATATACGTGAAAACAAAAATAGACTGTGAAAGTGTGATGTACTTGTTGATGTTTCTGTACATTGCTAAATAAAAATTTATGAATATTACATCATTGACGACCGATGTCATGCAGAAATATGAAAGTGCATTTGTCCAAGTAAAATTAATATTTTTGATGAACACAATTTCTGCAATTGATTTGCAATAGTTTATAGATAATCCTAGGATTCTATCTTATTTAGATACAGATAATCCTAGGACTCTATTCTAGACGAAGCGTGTCATAGAAACAAAAAAAAACGAAGGAACTCGTAAGAAACATGCTTTTGGGACTACACACTTGGCAACTAAAGTAGAGATACCAGAAGTTCTTTTTATAAATTATGTACCTTAATTTCCATACAATGATATACTATTTTTATAAGTGCAAATTACCCTAATAGAAATGTATCGTAACCAGCAATATTCAAATCTTGTTTCTAGATGGACCGGACAATATTTGTTTTCAAAATTATGGAAAATTTGAAAAATTCATGGCAGAACTGTTTTATATGGTTTGTTACAAATAAAAAACGTGTTTCTCATCTGATTTAGACGTCAAAACGTATTTCTCGTCTGATTTACACGTCAAAACGCGTTTCTCATCTGATTTACACGTCAAAACGTGTTTCTCATCACATATACACAAATGTGGGCGTAATGGAAGCTTTTTGTGGGCGATTATCGAACATAATGGTTTCAATTATAAGTACTAAAAGCTGGAAGGGTTTTAATTTTAATAGAATACTAATGCATTACAAGGCAAAATTTTTAACAACTTACACAAAACGTTGTTATAATTAAATTCCCTTTTTTGACTTCAAATAAAAGTCATTGTTTGCTCTTACCTTTTTGTGTGATAAAATGATTTTAAAATTTTTTTCGTTTTAGGTAAGTCATCTGATTTCTTAAAAAATCTCGTCTAGTTCATTAATTAACTATTAATAATAAGTTAATAATTATACTTAAATCTTCATTTTCTACACAACCATTTTACCTGAATCATTTTTACTAAAAATAAATTCCATCACACTTCCACAGTTTGAAATACCTGTTGATCATAATTTGAAATAAATTTTCTATAATTTCCTGATGTGTCTGTCAGCCAATGGCGAGTTTAGCTTTGATCTAGAAATTGTGAAAAATAATATATGAATTAGATATTTTGTTTAAGTAAAATTTAAATAAATATAAAAAATGCGCGATTTCAATTTTTTACCCATTCAAAATTATATCTTGAAAGTTGGTTAATTGGCGTAAGCAATTGATGTTTTTAAAGACATGCGCAATTAAACCAAAAAGCTTGTAAAAATAAACATTTTTATTCTGCAATAGTCTTCGTAATTTGTTTTTGAAAGTCACATTCTCCCCGTTATTAATATAAAAAAATGTTTTCATAAAAAATCAACATCATTCTAAAAATTTAGTTAATTTTAGACACTGTCAGTTAGATACTGTTGAAATAGGAATTAATTCTATTTTAATGAAACAATAATAATAATTGGCAACATCAAAATATTTCTATCCTTACTATACTTTTTATAATAATGCTGATTTGTCACGAATATTTTATACTAAATATCATATAAAGTATTTTCAAATATTGTTCATTAGGTAAAAATAATAATAGCCTGTCGATTATTCTCAATTACTTGTACCTTGAGAAATTTGAGCAAAATTTAAAAATTAGTAAAAAAAATTGCTGAAGCATAGTTAATAAAGCAGCAGTCACATATGCTTTGAAAATTGCTTGATTTCCAAAATTTGCACATTTTACCAAAAACCACTTAAGAGCAAGTAGCAAAATCAATAAATCCAAAATAATTTGTTTTTTTTTTTCAAATAGTAAGAATATTTCTTTATTATATTTATTCAAAGGTCAAAGGATACTAGATTTTCGGATACTAGAGATCAAAATAAGATACTTTGCTAAAGAAACCATACATCTAAAATGAATTCTGATGTACCGTGCATTGTCCCAAAAATTAGGGTTAAAATTTGAAATATTCCGTTTTGGCCCAGTGGAAGGTGGATCCACCCAAGCCTGTGGTTCACCCCCTGGAAACCTTAATAAGAGGTTCTTTTTTTAAATTTAACCCTTATCTTTGGGTCAATGCACCGGACATTAGAGTTCATTTTAGAGGTATGGTTTATTCAGCAAAGTATCTTATTTTGATCCCTAGAATCCGAAAATCATATGTGCCTAAGTGACCTTTAAATTTAAATTGACCCGCCCTAATATATATATATATATATATATATATATATATATATCGATCAGTTTTGTAAAATATACATATTTCAAGTAAAATATTTCTGGAAGTCATTTCAATCTTGAAATGATTGAAAAAGTAAAATCTACACATGAAGTGAAATGTTTTTTTAGTGCTAAACGTACCAGAGAAAATATTTCTTTACTCAATTTCAAATAATTATTTTGTTGCTCTATCTTTGAGATTTTTTACGTTTATTTTCGTTCCTTTATATTGTTATTAATTGCATTCTAAGATTTCATTAATATATGGTTTGTGCATCTTTATAATGAAATATAAATGTTAATTTGTAGAATATCGTCTTCATTCAAAGGAATAATTGTGCACATGCCTATAACCAGGTGATTCTTTGGTAAAAAAAGATTACAAATTGATAAAAAATACAGCTAATGTGATATACTTAATAATAGTTTAATTTCAAATAGGTTTCCTATGAAACTTTATCATGCAAATTTTTTTAACTTAAATTGGTCATCGTTTTTTCGTAATAAAATATTAAGCCATTCTTTAAAAATATTCTAATTTTATTCAACTATTTCCTTAAGAGAAATGATTGGTATTTTCACAATTATACAAGTAGCTATGAAAATTATCATATTAAGCTACATGGATTTGTTCATTCAATACGAATTTCAACTATTGAATTGAATTTAATCTATAGTAAGAGTCTAGACATAAATTTCTTCGGCATTTTTTAGGAGAATAGCATTTAATTTCAATATCTAAAAGTAACAATTCTCTAATCTTTCAAAAAAAAAATAAGAATCAAGAATAATTTCTATACGCAAGTCGAAAAAAATTGGATTTTTAGATTTTTTTAAAAGTAGATCTTATTATCTTAGTTTTCTGAAAAACTGTTTTCCTACACTTTAGTGAAGTATTATTATTAACTAAGAAGGTGCTCCTTAAATTGTGACCATGACCTCTGCGTAATAAAAAGGTGCTAATGACACACGTTAATTGCGTCTAACCAGAATATTGTGATGTTATTTTAAATTTAAGACATACACCTGGGTAATATTACGAAAACAATTAGTCAATGTTACATATGAGTACTTTGTTTTGTTCCGGACAATGTAATAATAATAATTAGGAGCTGCTCTACTCAGTTACAAAACAATTAGTTTGAAAAGTTTTCTTTTGCAATATGATATCAAAGTTGTTGAATGGACGAATTTGATTAATAAATATATTTATTATTTAGTTTTGTTAAAAAAAAACTTTTACGAATTTGAATTTAATACCGTAACTGTCAGTAGGGTAGAGAGGGGCCTAAAGAACCAACTGAACCTTTACCTTGGCGTGTTAACAATACCTTGAGGTGTTAACAATAACATTTTGAATAAAAAATAAATTAAGTTTAAGAATGCAGTATTACAAGAGATAAATCAAATAATAGTTATTCCAACTCAGCTGATAAATATTTGTGACAAAACACCAGATCAAGGTTATATACAGAGTAATCTCTGTAAAAATTGTACTTATGAAATTTATATTTCACATTGCATGAATAATTAGCTAATATTTTGTAAAAATCTCTTTAAAATTGCAAATAGGATATTGGACCTATTTGCCCCATGGCCAGAAGACAAATTTTAGAAAAACAGCAAAAAAACACATTTCTACAATGGTGAATTAGCTGGGAGTTTTGAAAATAATCAATAAAATAATCATGTTTGTTTGATATGTGTTGTTTGTTCTAATATTATTGGTTTGGTTTTCACAATAATTGCTCAAAGTCAAAGTGGACCTTTGTACCCCGCCCTAGTCTATCATAAACAATTTAAGTTGACCCTCAAAAAGTACATTGTAGATCATCGAATGGTATTTAGGATATACGATCTTAGATAATCGAATTAAATTTTCATCGAAACGATTCTTTGAAAAATAGCACTTGCCATAGGCAAAATATTCATCATCTTGTTTACATTCAAAATCAAAAAAAAAAATCGATGTTATTTCTCTAACTAATGGATTCTGCCAATTAACAGACAAATGTTGACAAAAGCCATATGTTGCTATGCAGTCAGGCAATTTTCGAGGGTTGTCAGATAGAAAACATAACCTAGAAACCGCACAAATGTCAAAAAAACAATCTTAGATAACAGGTTCTTTCTGACCCAGCTTCATAACATATGAGTGACATTGCAGTTTATGTGTAAAACGCCTGAATGCATAGCAAATACATGACATTTTGACAGTATTCAGTATGATTCAGTAACATAATGTATGGAAGTTGGAGCGTGACATGGCCTTGCCATAATATTGTTTTTTTCTGGTTATTTTTGCACTCCTTCTAATACTCAGTAATTAACAGATACATTTAGCACTAAATACAGGTATTTAGTATAAATACAGGTACATTTAGCACTAAAAAATGAATATAGTTTGCTTATAATATTGTAATGTGTATAGTTTGCTATGAACAATAAACCAAAAATAAAAATCAATATCAAACAAAAATGCATAACGCTTATACATAAGCTCATCTTTTATCTAATTGCAGCTGTAAGGCTAAAAAACATAAATAATATAAAACAAAACACAAAAACAAAAAAGCTTATTCAAAAACCGTGCTCAGCTCTCTTACCATTAGAAAAATTCGCGTTTTGTTCCGAAGTAGGAAGACACTTTAGTTTGAACGGATTTATAAATATTTTTTAATCAATTTATAAATAAAAAATATAATCTTTTAATGCATAATTTGTTTAATTATTAATTCAGTGCAATATAATTTTTATTATTAAAAATTGGCATTATCATTTTTTTAAGCACATTGCTACTTCTTAATATATATTATCGTAATAATTTTTTATAAGTTATAATCATTCTTGGACGATTGAATAGAAAATACTTAATTTTTGCGCAATAATATTTTAAAATGTTATACAAAATTTTATAGGCACGTTTTATAGTTTAAGCGTAATATTAACCAAATAAATAAAATCAACAATTTTAACAGTCGTTTAACAATAAAAATATTATTATGTACTTATCTATTTAAAATATTTCATAAATATTATTTTTAGAGAATATTTGCTGTGGTTATGAACGAATTCGAATTTTAGATTTGATCGAAATATTATATATTAATAAATAATTTAAATAAAATTTTTATGGTAATCTTTATTTTATATTATATTAATTCTTTTATTTGAAGATTCCACAACCCATCTCATTCGCTCAACACGGGCAGTAGAGACCAGTTTACGGGAAAAAGAAAAAATAAATTAGATATTTGATTTAAATTTGTGGAAAATTATTAAATGCTTCAGTGAACTACAATTTACATTTGATGAACTAAATGGATTTACCCTCTTCTGACTTGTTCAAGAATTTATTTACTTCTAGTACAAATGAAATATTTATTTTGTATAAGAAAATTTGTTATATTAGTATCAATCATCTATTAACTCGTTTGGGAAGGAAGCGGTCGCTTTCTCGTCTCACAGGCAGTTTTATGACCTTTTAAGTATACGAGTCAAAATAATGCCATTGTGTATTTTCCAGAAAACACAAAAATATTACTTCAAAGATACATAACAATGAGATTGTGTTCAAATGTGAAAGTATAATTTATTGAATAGTAAGGGGATCATATTTCTAACTATGACAATCTTTGGCCGTGAATGACGGCAATCAGGAATATACTTACCATACAGGTAAGTGTATCATAACTTAATATCTTATTCATATAACATATGAATATTTATGTAATGGTAAAATGTACATTAACATTAAACTAGTTCACGAGTAGGTAATAAAATATTAATGGCATAAGATATCGTATTTGTTTAAATTATTCGAACGCAATTTTTACATATTTTAAAATCAACTAACTTGATAAATAGGTTAATGGACGGAAGGAGAAAATAGTGCAATTATGATAAACCAATGCAAATATTGTAATAATTATTATGATTGTTATAATAATAACTAACATTTAAAAAATGAAAGGATTTTACGCTAGTAGATTTTCCTACAAAGTTTAAGTAATAGAATGTTATTTGTCGAATCAAGACTTTCCTATAAAGAAAATGCATTTGCCCTAAGAAATCAACATCTGAATCAAGCTATATCAAGTACTTTTACTATATACTTTATTGATAAAGAAAGGTTACCGATATTTTGTTTTCTTACAGTTTGATAACTTTGAATTGCTTGCAAAAGTTCAATAATCAAAGACTAAATTATGTGGAATAAGTTAAACAGCTTCCAAAGTCGTTAAATTATAATGAGTGTCAGAAAAAATTCTAAGCCTTTTCGTATCGTACTGCTTAGAGCAGTGTTTTCCAGCCTTTCAATAAATTTTAAACAAGTCAGAACAGGGTATCGCTTTATTCACATTGCAAATATTGTACAAATCAAAGTGTGCAATTTTAACACATCTATGTCTGTATATAAAAACAATAAATAAGAATATAAAAACAATAAATGTACTTACAATTCGATCGACAAAACTGTGGGGTTTGGACACAGTTGTGGTGCCTTCACGTGGCATTGTTTGTGGCACCTCAGATTACAATCACGGCATTCGTAACCTGATATTGAGAATAAAAACAAATTCAGTTTATATTTCAAACAACAGTATAAAAAACTAAGAAAAAATATAATATATGTTTTGTTAGTAATTAGACAGGTCCACTAAATAAAAAGAGTTGTTTGTGACAAAAAAAAATTACTAGAAGAATAACAGAAGAATTATTAGATCAGAGATTTTGTCATCTTTTATTTTTTTGCAATTTTTTGCCATTTGACCCCTAATTTTGACTTCAGATTCGTGTTCAGCGGAAAAAACTACATTGGAAAGTAAATGCCGCACATCCAATAAAGACAATATTCGGACGTATTTTTATTTTATTACATTGGCCATGAATGCGACAATCTTCATGGCATTGAGCTTTTACACCGGATGGTTTCTACCCTGTAGAGGCGGTAGCGAATTTCGATCGGACTTATCTCCCCGTAAGAACAAATGCAATAAATAATCAATAAATATATCTTCTCAATCAGAACTTAGTGACAAATCGTTGGTGTTATAAGAACTTGCAACAAATACATAAATTATACCAACAAATCAGTGTTTCATACAGTTCACAGATACAAAGGTTAAATTATATAACATAACGACCCGAGTAAATCGAAGGAGAGACTTAATACGCACATATGATAACTTTTTTTATTTTGTGGACCTGTGTTATAATTAAACCAACTAAGGACCTTGTATTTCAAATGGGATCAATACATGAAAATCTTACAAGTTACTGCACCTCTTAGTGCTTAAATTTTTTAACACATTTGTGGCTAAAATATAAAAAAAACACACAAATCAAAACTATATCGAATTATATTTTTCTTAAAATTAATGAAAAGCCAATGACAACATAAAATGAAAAACAACAACGATAAATAATAGAGTTTTTATAAATCAATTAGCATCTTTGAAGATGGTGTTATCATAACATTTTTCCTTGCTTCTTTATATGTAAAATACACCTGATTGCACAGCAAATAGATATATATTTTCACAGTTTCACTACCAATAAACATTATATCTTATAAGATAATGCAACATTTTGTATTAAAATTTGAAAAATAAACGAATAATTGGAATATATATATATATATATATATATAAGTATGCTTTAATCATTTTGAACAAATATATTTATTATAAATTATTATATTAATAATAAAAAGTTGTGTTCTAACCTTGTTTTCCTGGTCTTCTCGGTATGGACCTTTGGCAAATGGTGCACAGTTGACCACTGAAACAAAGTTTAGATAAATTATATAAACACTTAATTGTATATTAAAGAAAAATTATAGAAAACAGTTATAATTAGAAATATCAATATTACTTAATGGTTTCAAAATAATATTTTCCTTGGCTTTTTAATTTTGGTCAGAAAAGGCCATCAACGTTTTCCATTTATTTTCGACAATTTAAACACTTTTCGTATATTTCACAAATATTTAATTTACAAATACATGAAACAAAACAAATTACATGTTAACTTTAAATATATAATTTTTTTGTAATTATAGTTGATAGTGTTTAATTTAATTACCATATTTTAAAAAAAGCTTTCATATTTCATGTAGTTATATAATTATTTTCACAGAAAAAAAAATCCAAGATTAAATAAACTGATTAAAAATGGCCCTAAAAAATATACCAACTTTTTCAAACATGAACACAATTGGCATCATAGATTTAAAAAATCTTCATGTCTACATAATGAATAAAACCAAAGAAATATGTTATAGATTGGTTAAATATGTATTTTATTTCTTTTGATGTTCCAACTTTCATCTATATTACTATTGTGTGTCGAAATGCTAATAGGTACTTTCAAAAAAAAAATAGAACGAGTTTGTAAAATATGGTCTAATTTTAATAACTATTATTACTCAAAATTTCATATTACGTTTATGATTATAGTTCTACTTACCCACTCAAATGTTTGGCTACAAATGTATGATCATTATAAATATGCAACTTGGTTCCTTTGCGCCTCCATCTGGGTCTCTGGGCAACGGCTACTGGAACCAAGAAGTGTCTTCTAACTCCATTCTCCAAAGTCTCCAGAACCAAAGTGGAAGCCTCGTTTACGTATGTCCTGACGGAGGTTCCAGAAATGGCTGAACCTTCTGAGATTGAAGACCTTCTTGATGAATCTTGGGGCACTGACAAGCGACCCAACCCGAGATGGGTTCCTAAATATCAGAATAATCCAAACACACTTTTTGGATAAAATTACCCAAACAGGAAAACGCAGCACACAAAACAAATTTAAAAGGTTCGAGTTTGCAATAACCTTTCGACTTATTTCAAAATTAGTCAAATATTTAAAAAAATGCAAAATTACAAAATCACTTGGATAATAGAAGTATGCTTTATTATAATGCTGTTAATATTCCAGGTTTTAAATATTAAAAATTTTCATGCTCATTGGAATTCTCAAATTAGTTATAGGCGAAACATATTGCTTGATGCATATTATTGAATTATGACTATAATTTTACTTATAATATTTGTAGGAGTAAATAATAATAATATTGAGAAAAGGTGAATATTATTTTATTAGCATCGAAAATTTATAAAATTAAATGAAATAATGCATTGAAGTAGTTATGAGTAAAGGAAACATATGTCTACTAGGGTGGTCCTTAATATGGACATTTTCGAGTTTCCTTGCTCCCAGGGGCTCAAATACTTCCAAATTGATAAAAAACATTTCTCTGAAAGTTTTAGCTCTAAATATTGTCTTTTAGATAGAGCGCAATTCAATCAAACTTCGTATGGAAATAGCATGGAAAAATTTTGGAAAAATAAAAAAAATTTTTTTTTAGGTATAACTTAGCAACAAATGAATTAAATATGACAATTCGTGTCATCTTTTATTGAAAACTCGATGCTCTGCAAAACAGGTTTTTTATCATTTGTTTTGAATAAAACTCATTCATTTGTTCGCTAAGTTATATCTAAAAAACATTTTTAAAATTTTTGAAATTTTTCTCATTATATTTCCATACAAAACTGTGATTGAATTGCGCACTATCTAATAATAAGAGACAATATTAAGAGCTAAAACTTATAAAGTATTTTTTTATCAATTTGGGAAGCATTTGAGCCCCTGGGAGCAAGGAAATTCAAAAATGTCCATATTAATGAACACCCTAATGTCTACCTTCGCCAAAAAAACCCTTCGCGTTATTGTATTGATGAAAAATGGAAATTATTAAATTATTTATGGTAATTAGGACAAATCTACAAAATAACGATTTTTTATGTATCTTACATAGCTACTATTCTTTCATATATCTCAAGTACCTCTATCATCTTAAATAACTTTATCAAAAGGTGAAAAAAACATATAAAACAAATCATAATCATGAATCAAATGAAAAATTACCAAGAATTTTACTTTAGCAAGAAGTTACCATTGCTGTTTCCAAAATTCCATTTTTGAATATAAACCAAAAAAGTCTAGTTGCTTTCCAATAAATTGTAGGCAAATAAATAAGTAGGTGCAATGTACCTTTGTAAAAAACATTGCACAAAACGTATTGTTTTTTTTTTGTAGCTAGTAAATAAATTATGAATTAAATATTTATAAAATTAGATCGTTAGAAATAATAAAAAAGCAAAACATTTTTTCAAAAACGGAGAGACAGGTACAAAAAGTTCAGAAGTTATTGACTTATGAATTTTATTTATTTTTTTTTAAATACCTAACAACATTTTCAGTTTCTGTAAGTACAATTCTGTAAGTTTCACTATTGTTTTGTGATTTTAAAAAAAACTTTCAACCACGTATATAACCAAATAAATTAATTCTGCAAGTCAGATTTTAAAATCTGATTTTAATATTCAATTTAAAAATGTTTACATATCTAAGTAATACGTATACTTATGTAAAACATTTACCTTAAATCGATTATTTTTATATCATTCATGAAGAGAAATTTAGAATAATAAATGATAAAAGTTTAAAATATTTTAGGGGTACATATACAGATATTGTTTGTATCTGAGATTTTTCTTGATGAACGTTAGATACAAGTTAATTGAAGATTTGGATTTTGTTGGTATTAATTTAACCGTTTTTTTACTGGCAAAGATAGATCATCATTATTTCATTTTACCTCACAATACTAATAAATCAAATTAACATAATTTTTTATGCATCTATAATAAATTTTTCTCATCTTACAATTGGGACTTGGTTAAGATGATCAATTGTGGAAAACAATTAGTAAAAATTTTATGAGACAATTACTAAATTATGAACACAAAAAATAATGTTATATATGACACATAAAAAATATGGAGATGAAAAAAGCATGCTTATGATATAATATGATAAAGTTCAAGCAAACTGTTAAGACAAATAAATCTCAAATGAGGATATTAGCCAGAAGCTAAAAATCAATCAAAAATGCAAATTCAAACTATAAGTAGGTATACAAGAGTAATATTGCTTATAGTAAAAAAAAAACTCATTGTAATAAATATATTTAAAAAAAGCTTAATCCAGAGGCGAAAGTGCTGTATGAACTTGCGGTAAAAAAATTGAAAATAACAACCCAAGAATAAAATACATAAATGACAAATTTTGAAAGAAGAAATGATTAGAAAATTGTAGAACGCAAATATAGAGCATGAATTTTATGAAAAACCAATATGTACATGCAGATATATGATTTTAAATTATGCCTTTGACTTTCAAATTTCATATTGCAGCCCAAAATTTCATAACAAAATTTCGAAATCCAATTTATAAAATAAATGTGCACTGCGTTTTCTTCCCCATGCATAGCTCAACCACTAGCTTGTGTAAAACTATAATTCCTATATAATTTTGAAAATATGGAACAATTATTTATATATTGACCTAACTTTGTATTGTGATTACCTTATTTGCTTATTACTATCGCTCGCCATAAAAATATAAATTCTGATTTCCCAAAGCAAATTCACATTTGAAATGCCTAATTTGGCTCTATAAAAATGATATTGCATTCACAAAGTATACGAAGAAAATCAACTAAAAAGCATTCAAGTGAACAAAAATAATATATATTTATAATAACAAAAATAAAATTAAATAAATAAATATAATCAAGTGTTTACGTATAATTTATCTGATTAGTCCTTTATTCTTCTTTAAAGTTGATGGAAATTGAACCGTTCAAGGCCAAAGCTCTAACTACTAAAACACGAACAATTCATAAAAAATGTATGAAGATAGCTGAGCTGAAGTCAATGATGACTCAATTGACTGTCCTTTCTAGTTCCTAGACTGTTTGTTCTTTTCTAGCAGCAATGCTTTGAAAGACAATTTTCGCTTGATCAACTGATGTCAATACTGCTTGATACCAAGTTGTTCGTGGCGGAAATTGAACCATTTGTTTGCAAGGCCAAAGCTCTTACTACTAAGCCACGAACAATTCATGTAAAATGTATATAGATAGCTGAACCCAAATCAATAATAACTCAATTAGTCGTCTCTTCTGAAAGAAACTCGTCTGAAAGACTATTTACACTTAATCAACTGATGTCAATTTTCCTTGATGTCAAGTTGTCTGCGATGGAAATTAAACCGTTTGGTTGCAAGGCCCAAGCTCTTACTACTAAGCCACGAATAATTCATGTGAAATGTATAAGAATAGATGAGCTCAAGTCAATGACAACTCAATTGGTCGTCTTTTCTAGTTGTGATATTGCAGCAATCTTTTGAAAGACAATTTTTACTTGATTAACTGATGTCAATATTGTTCGATATAAAGTTGTCCAGGGTCTGGCAACCCTTTGGTTCAAGGCCAAAGCTCTTACTACTAAACCACGAACAATTTATACAAAATGTGCCAAGTTTTGCAAGAATAGCTTGAATGCAAGAATGGTTCAGAATATTCTTCGTCAATTTATATTAAATAATCTGTGGTTAAAGACAATGACAACAATGTTGACAATCCAACTACTGATGATGGAGTAGGTAAATGAATCACAAAAATCTACGGTTTGATTTTCTAAGTAATATGAATGTTGAACTATAAATTACAGTCTCCTAAAACCCCAAGAATTTATTTCTATAATGAAGTTGAAATGATAACTAATGATCAAGTATACACTTTTCAAATAATCTTAGCAAAAATTCGGTAGTTTTCTGTAGAAAGGTTTCAATCGTACTTTCATGGAGTACCAGTTTAATATCTATGCACTTTTTTCTGCATAATTTTCCCAAATTATTAATGATAATTTTATATATTTACTCACAAATGTTGTCATCTATATTGTCAATTTCAAAACTATAATTGATGGCTTCCCTAAGAAATTCAAATTCTTAAATTAGGTTTTCGCATTGCAGCGAATTTTAATATCAATTTCTTTTCAAAAAATACGTTTGTATAAAAAATACAGAAAAAATCAAAATTATGAATGCACAACCTTACAATGCTCTAATAAATTTCTCAATTAATTCTTAATAATATTAAACTTAATCAAATATTTTAATGCATTGCTAATATATTTCTGAGAATGAATAAATTGCACCAAGGCAACAGGCAGCAGTTTCAAAAGTCATAAAAAAATTGCATAAAAACTTTGTCCTTTATAAGCTCAAACAATTTGTTAGCCAAAAAACACAAGCCAGTAGCTGCAGATTCAAAACTTCAAGAAAACACAAAAAATAAATACATCACACCTGAATAAAAATGTAATTTGTGTGAATGAAAATATAAAATTAAATTTATCACTATCAAAATATTAACTCTTTTGCTACGAAAGTGATTTACGCAGTAGTGACACTGCTGTACAGAACAGCGATCGGCCAAGTAGCGCTTCTGAATAGGTCAGACACAACATATATTAAGGTTTTTCATTTAATATCAATAAAATGTAATTAAAAATTGAATATTACACTTTTAAGAAACTAAAAATCAAAATTAGAAATTAAATTGCTCAAGAAATTAACTCAAGGGAATTTTCAGAGTGATAAATCTTGAAGCAAGGGTCACACTAAATGTCTTCTATAGGCGACATCCGTACACACAGGTCGTCATGCGGATGCCGTCTATAAGTGACTCTTGTAGCAAAAGAGTTAATTACGAATTATATTTAGTGTGATGTATTTATTTATTTTTGTATAAAAACCATTCACAAACCATTCCCTATCTAAAAACGTATTCAAAATAAAATGTATAAAAAACATCATGACATAGTTATAAATTTAAATATTATTTATATATATATATATATATATATATATATATAACAAATATACTTTCAAGGGTAAACATAGTGTTCAGGCTCAACCCACCAGGGACAAATCTTTAACATTTTACAATAGTACAAATAGCTTCGATATTTATTTTTCAATATAGTTCTAAGTAGTTATAATTGCATTTTCCAAAAAAATCATTTATAAATTTATAAATTAGAATATTTTCAAAAGATTGCACAAAAATTAGAAATGGTGGGTTTGCTTTGCTATTGTGCCTGAAACATCATGCTACGTCAAGTATGCCAAAAATATTCAGTGGATAGATCGAGAAGAAAATATCTACATAAATCGACAATTGATGTACTGAATTAAGATGTATTTTAACACTTTTATAATTTTTCATATTTTCTGTACTTTTTTGCATATATTTATTGCCAATCAAAATATACATTTTTTTAAGACAATATGCTGGTCTTTATGTCTGTAAAGATTTGAGATATGAGGTATCTCCTTTTTATTGACATTTTATTTAAGATTGTATGGCCATTTTTTTAATCTTCAAGTAGGATATTCCCTACTTAAATTCGTTTAAATATTTGTTTGGGTGACCTGGTCAATTTTTGTGATACTAATATCAATAATAATTTGCGATTGCATTTTTATTAATCGTATGTATTTAGCAGTATTATTACTAGAATCAATTCAGATGATAATTGTAATGTTTTAATAATATAACATCAGCAAAATAGTTAAAACTGGCCGCATAATTCCAATCTATTAAATAGTTCTTTAGCAGACGTGTAATATCAAAATAGCAATATTAAGATATCATCAATGCAGTTCAAATTTATAATATTTTCTCTATTATCTCCAGTATTATAAAATATTATCAATATTTCTAATGAATATCAATTTCAATCCATCAATTTCGTTTATGTTTCTATTATCCACCGAGTATTTACCTTAATTTTTGAATAAAAAAATGTTATTGTAAAACAATGGCCTTACCTGGTGAACTGGTATTAAGTTGTCCTCTATCTGCACTTATGGACCTGGATTCAATTCCTGGTTCTGCTTCAGCTCCAATCGCCATTGCCCGGTCCATAGATTTAGATCGGTTCTTTGATCTACCCAATCTAGAAAAATATTAATTTATGATAAATAATTAATAAATAATATCAAAAGCAAAAACATCATGCTATGTCTATAGCTAAAATCTATACAATCAAAATTATAAATTAATTTTTGAGCTATTAGATATCTTTGGTTTTTTATCAGGTTTAGATACAAATCAATTCCTTGTAACTAACAAAGGAGATTCAAGTAGTCGTTGATGATGTCTAAAAAACACAAAAGTTAAATTACCATAAAATGGTTTATTATTATGTGTAAAAAATACGTTTAAGTAATTTTTAAAATACCTCCTCTTGATCGTTCCAAAGAAGTCCCTCTTCCTCCGGCCTCGACCTCTGTCATCGTTGACCATAGTGCTATCTGGTGTAGTAGGTGTTGTTCCATTAGTATGGTTTGTTTCTGGCTATAAAGTGATTAAAAAAATTGGGAAAATCAAATTGAGTATTTATGATAAACTCAAACAGTACAGAAAGAGCATAGAGTGAATAAATGACTTAGAGAAATGAACTTTGGATCACATTGGTTTAAACTAAGCTGATATAAGCTACTTAAACTATCGATAAAATGCCAAAAAGCAAATTGTTAAGACAATATACACTCAATATCATGAAAATTAGCTACACAAGTTTTAATTCTTATTCAAAATTAGAACAAACAAAAATCAATTAAAAACCAACCTTGACTTCAACATTTTGTGCTATTACAGTCTCTTGAGTAATAGCTGTACCATTTTCCACATGATTTTCAGGAGTTGATGTGGTGAGCTCAATTTTAGGTTCAACTTCAATAAAACTGCCTTCTTCGGTCATTTCAACCTAGCCATGCAAATATCACAAACACAAACAAAAATAAAATACATTCTCATCTTTGAAGCAGCAAATTTTAATGAAATTTTTATAGGCTATGACAACCCTTTTAATGTTAGTTGATTAGAAAAATGAATGAAAAAAATTAAAATATATATTCAAAGTCGCCAGACACTCAAAAAATGTTCGAAATATTTGATGGTAAAATCTAAAAAAATTTGAAATGCAACTTTTTTTTCTATGTATACAAGAATATAGACAGGAAGGCATTTATCCTTCTGACTACATAAGAATCAAGGACTAAGGCTTATATATATAGCAAAGATGCAAAACTGTTCGAAGTATTCAGTAGTATTTATAAAGCATTTATCTATCAAAAACAGAAATTAATTTTTAATAGTATAAATCTGATTACAGTAAATAATCCAATTTTTTCTTTTTTTAAATGATATATTATATAAGTGTAGTTTATAAAATTCAGTCAGGTATACTTTTATTAATGTATTTTTTTAATGATATAATATTAGCAAATTTTATTAATAAAAATAAGCATAATTACCTTCAGTGTTTTTTGCCTTTGTGACTGCTGCTATGAAAAGGAAACAAACAAAAGCATGAATCTCAATGCAAAATGATCAACATTCATTACTTACTTATTGAAGTTCCATTTCAATAGTATTTTATATTAGTTAATAATTCAAAAGAAAAGCAGCGAATATATTATAATATTAACCCTTTCGCCACGAGCGTCGTCTATAGGCGACATCCAATATTTCAACTTTAACTTCACGATTTATATATCAAATTGTGAGTTAAATTATTCTTAATCATTATTTAAGTTTTAATTCTTCAGAAATATAATATTTAATTTTTAAATAAATTTTCTTGGGTAAAGCTTGAAAATTATTAATATATGTTATAAAACAAAAACTTGTGCCGCTTGCTCGCTCGTAAAGCAGTGTCACTCCTTCAAAAAACACACGAGTAGCGAAAGGGTTAAATATTAATATAATGTTAGAATAAATGTTATTTTATATTGAACAAAAATAACTCAAGTAAAAGTTATTTTAGACAAAAATATTAAGGATTCTTGCTTTTAGTATACAAGAATCACATTTATGAAAAGGAAAAGTATCAAAATTTTTCGCTAATATCACTAATGGTCTTTCGTTAAAGACCCGAGAAGTGATGAACATGATGATTAAGTTCTTGGTTTTACTTTTTAGAACTTTATCTATTTGCTACTTTCAAGAAACAATAATTAGATTAGTTGAGTCGAAAATGGTCGACAATGGTTGCCAAAGAGTTGCCAATGATATAAGTTTATACAAACTTTTTGTAAGTGAATGGTAATCTGCAACTTTAATAGTAATTACTTTACTAACTAATAAACGAAGCATTTATATGACCTTTTTGTTCTAATTAACAACCCAGTAAACCACAAAAGTTAAAATAACGTAGCACAGAAGAAACGCCGTTACGAAGTTGATGGTTATGCTAATATATGCTACCAAGATGCTTCCAATTTATAACGTAGCTGCCACGTAACGAACAAAACCGAAGTATCTACGTTGAAGCCGATAAAAGGTTACATCTATACGTAATATGTACGTTTTATTAACATAACCATCAACTTCGTAACGACGTTTCTTCTTTGGTACCCTATTTTAACTTTGGTGGTTTAATGGATTACCAATTATAACAGAAAGGTCGTATAAATGCTTCGTTTTTTAGTTAATAAAGTAATTACTATTAAAGTATTTTTTTAAGTATTAAATTATTTTATTAGCATTAGCATCAACTACGTAACGACGTTTCTGTTGTGCTACGTTATTTTAACTTTTGTGGTATACTGGGTTACTAATTAGAACTAAAAGGTCGTATAAATGCTTCGTTAATTTGTTAGTAAAGTAGTAGTAACTATTAAAGTTGAAGATTACCATTCACTTTCCAAAAAGTTTCTATAAACATATTATTGGCAACTCTTTGGCAACCATTTTCGACAATTTTCGACTCAACTAATCTAAATATTCTTGAAAAGCAAATATATAAAGTTCTAAAGAGTAAAACCAAGAACTTAATCAACATATTCATAAGCATATTATGAATTAACTAATCATTTTGGATCAACATGATCATTTTGGTACATTAGACCCTGCTTCGCTTATATGCTGATGTGGCATTATTTTAATTAGAATATGAATTGAAAAAAAAATGAAACTGCTTTCTACTTTGATTTCTAGATGAGCAGTTAAGTATTCTATTCAATAAAAATAATTTTTATATAAACTTCCAAACGTTTCTGCAATAGAATGGAAAACGATGCGCAAACCACGAATCTATAATTAAAGAACTAAATGATTTGCTTTATATGTTAATATTATTATACAAAAACACAATCCAAAAATCCAAACATATAAAATCTTTATAACTTACTCTCTGAACGCTGTGAATAATAGAGTGCTTTTATTAACATTAGGACCAGCCGTAACTCCTGATTCTATAGCACGTATGGCTGAATCAGCTAAATCCACAGCATTTGTTGGAGAACCTGCAAAAAAACAAAAATAGTAATAGAAATTATAGATGAATAAATTATAGATATTAATAGCAATAGAAGTCACTCATGCAAAAGACAACTGCAACCATAGAAAAAATCTAGACAAGATTTGTCTGACTAGGAAACGATATCAAAATTTGCATGTCTTATTTCAAGTAATGAGCTAAAGCATATTTTTAACAAGCTTCATTAAAAACACATTTAGAAATAGTTTTTAAATAAATCATCAAACTGAACTAAATCTAATTTATCTACCAGCTAAGAAAGTACATATACTTTTAGTGAAGCAATTTAAAAACAAATCAGACTTCTATAAACTAACAAGGCATTATAGAAAAAGTGTTCTACACTACTCTTGTGCCAAAAATTTGTGCAAATGCTTAAAGTGGACAAAAAGTTTTAAATGACGTGCAATTCAAAGCATTTTAATAAAAGCAAATTTTTAAAATTATGATTAAGACAATCAATAGCACAGAACAAAACTTCATGAGCAAAATGATTTGAGGTCATAGGATGATTATACAAATGCTATTTGCTAATATAAAAACATGTTTTATAGTGTAAGAAATCCACTGTTTGTCATAATAATCCAGTGGTATGATTGGGTTTTTTAATTACCTACAATGCTGGTTCTGCATAAAAGTTCAACAACTAAATTGGAAATATAGGAAATACATGTACTTTCCGATTTAAATATTTTATCACGTTTTTCAAATATAAATTAAATTCAAAAGGATTGGTTTATATACTATATTAACCCTTTCGCTACGAGGGTCGTCCATGGACGACATCAACAAGATGTGCTGTGTGTACGAATGTCGCTCAGTGGGTTAAAAAATAAAAACTTCTTTGGTTTCTACTGAAGAGAAAATTTTATTTCAACATTGTGGCTATGAAATTTTAAAAATATGTTTTGAAATCAGCTCATGAAAACGTAATGTTTTTTTAATGTGATTTAAATACTTTCCGATTTAAATATTTTTTCACATTTTTTAAAATATTTATTAAATTCAAAACGATTGATTTATATACTATATTAACCCTTTCGCTACAAGGGTCGTCCATGGACGACATCCACAAGATGTGCTGTGTGTGTTCTTTGGTTTCTACTGAAGAGATAATTTTATTTCAACATTGTGGCTATAAATTTTTAAAAATATGTATTGAAATAAGCTCATGAAAACGTGATGTTTTTCTAATGTGATTTAAATACTTTGCAATTTAAATATTTTTCCACATTTTTTAAAATATTTATTAAATTCAAAACAATTGATTTATAAACTATATTAATCCTTTTGCTACGAGGGTCGCCGATGATAAAATTTTACATAATATTACATTATTTGTAATATCTGAGTGCACAAAACAATAATAATCAAATATTTATTTTTTATCTATAAACATAAGTATCAGAAAAATGCCATTAAACGAATAACAACTAAAAACAAGTCAAACTTCTTGTGACTTCTGAAGTGTTTTTACATAATAAATACTCGATTATACATGTGATTATAATGTGGGGTGATACATTCTGATGTTAATAATTCCAAGCTGTTACCTTTAAATACAAATGCATATGTACATAATTCAGATAAGCGCATACCAGAAGTACTAGTAGGGCTCTTGTTTTGCAAATGAAGTGCCTCTTTTAATTTATATGGCCTCCTTCCTGCTGGAACTTCGGCTCCTTCGATGAATACAAACTGAAATAGTAACATGAATTAGATAAATTATTGTAATAAAACATTATTTAAAATGCAATTGCTTTGCATTTATGCTTTTTTTAAACATATTAATAACTTAAGTTATACAAAACCACAACGTAATTCTTTAACCCGTTCGCGTCGTCTATTGACGACATCCAGTGTGGCTGATTTTGATTCAACATTTATCATTTTGAGTTAAATGATTGAATTGAGAATTGTTATTGTTTTTAGTTTTTTAGGAATTTTAAATTTTTAAATACATTTTTAAAGATAATAATCTTGAAATCAGAAAATGTTTTGTTTAAAAATACTTGAGCGTTTTTCTGGCTCTATCAAATTTTCATAAAAAATATACTAATAAAATTTGAACTTCCACAAAATTTGTAGTGCTTTTTACTTGTATCTGCATATTCCTAACTTTTCTAAACCAAAAAAGGCTAGTGTATGTGATGATAAATATATGTTCCAAATATACTTTATCAAATTTAGACCTCTTAAAGTAAGATTGAATCCACGATTTCTAGTTATTACAAACTACATATAATGTCTAATATCTATGAGTACTAATAATATATGAAGAGAAGGCAATAAATCCACGATAATTAAAAAAGTAAACTATACCAAAATTAGACTTTTTCCTCGACTTACCTCAACAGTAATAGCTCCAAAAACTTTTTCCTGCTCATAAGGCTTAGGCTGTAAGGTCAAAACTTGGCAACTGGCTGGACCCACCGTTAACTCATCGACTCCAACAAGACCCAATCCCAAAAATTTGGGCATTCCTGGTTCCGTTGGCGATTCTCCTGGTTTAAGTCCGTTAGTTCCGGCAGCAGAATCTTTACTTGGATGGCGGTCATAAACTTCGAAAAGTAACTCGGCAGTGTTTGGAGAGATGTCGCTAATAATATGTAGAAAAGTTTATATAATTTTGAAATATAACGAATTAATTTGGAAGAATAATTTTGAATCACAAATGCTTAATTTTTTTTTAAATTATAATCTTTTTTTTAAGTATATATGCAACATTTTTCCCTTTGTATGTGTAGAAGTTATGATGAATAGTGTTGCAAAATTAATATTATATGACAACAAAATTTGTAGAAATGTTTCTACAATGTAAATCATTTTTATGAAAGTTGCAAATATAGAGTAATTTCTAATACAATTATAATATATATTTCTAATACTCACAATAGAAAATGTTCATCCCAAAACGGATTTGGTCCTTGCCTGACACCAGTTTGATTGCGCTGAGGTGGCTCATCCATTTCAACTACGCAATAGGGTTCTAAAAGTGCACCAGCAGAAGGTTCGGGTCCTCCAAGACCTT